CACTTTCCTGCAGTCAGAACCTTTGCTGACCCCGGTTTCGAATATGCGTATATTTCTGGGCCTCTTGGACTTTTACATACTCGGTTTTTGGGTTTAGACCATGTCTGCTAATTCTGGTATCTTCTTTAGACAATTTTGCTTTGGGTCACTGTCGGTGAAGCACATATTTTAAAGATAATATACATACAAATATGCACATGTTCTGGAGATGATGCTAGATTGTGAACAATCGGTACAGCCAACTCTGAATCAACATAATAATTCAGCCAAACCCTGCGCTATACAGGTTCATGAAGCAGACAGGAGTGAAAAAGATTGAACTCATGTCTGCGTGTTACACTTTGGATACCAACAGATGGCGCTGCATTTTTTCATGAGTAAACCTGCCCACTGTGTCCTAAACAGTTCACTTGCTGGGATCATATGAGCTGAGTTTTTTAAACCCAAGGACATCACATAGACTTTTGGGGCCATGGCTGCTCAAAGTGGATAGATGATTAGGGCAAGGTGGAAGCCTTACAACGGCAGATGTTTTTTGGTTTCAGATTTATCAGTTATTCTGTATTATTGTTTGTTTAGCTGACAAATCATAACACTCTGAAAAATGGTTCTTCACTGGTTCTTTGAAGGTTTGAGGTTGCACTTTTTTACAGCACTTTTTTGCTCTAAAGAACCCATTAAGCTCTTTTTGGTTCTTCACTGGTTCTTTGTAGTTTTTGAGGTACTGTTATAGCACTGCAATGTGGAAACCGCTATGACCTTTTTCGTACTTCTCGTTCTAAAGTAGTTCTTTGTTATTTTTAATGACTGATGCTGCTCATATGCACCAGATCAAAGTTTATTTATTTCATATATTTGATGGTTGGTTCTAAATAGCACTGTTGGCGATTAGTTATGAATATCATTTTTGAAAATGGGTTCTAAATAGCACTTTTGAATGCAAGAACTAAAAAGCACCTGTGATGACCAGATTTGGTTCTATATAGAACCTGGAATAATGGAAAAACACAGGAATTATAGGCACACGCATTCCCAACCTACAACATTTGAACTGTGTCATTTAATAATAATTGATCTTGTGGTTCACTTGGTATTGGCTTGGGTTCTGCATGCTTAGCTTATTTTGTTGGCACCAAACAATTATTTTATTTTTCTAAAACATCCCACTGAGTCATGTTTACGTTCCAGTCTGAAATATATCACATGTTTGAATCTCCACAAATGCAGAACAAACATCATTTGATAACTTTTGAGTGGCACACCTGAAACACTTGCAAAAATAAAGTCAAATATTTAAATCGTGCTATACAAGAAAAAAAGGAATCATGCCTTGTGTATTGTTTACTATACATTATCAATGACAATGACATTCCATCAAATCGGTTCTCATACTTTTGTTATTAATAAGATTTATTAAGTACTTATTAAGTACTTGGTGGGCGTTACATTTAGATAACTATGGTATGTGGAGGTGAGAATTGGAGAAGAATGCATATATAAGAGTGCGTGGAAAGAACTGGAGCCTGTGAACAGCTGTACTGTCTGTTGGAGTGATTTATTGGAGTAACTATGCACCAGGTGGTCATGAAAGTGCTACACAGAGAGGGAAATCTGATTACATTTCTAGAATGTAGTGACAGGTATTTGTTGTGTGCATGACTTATTTCAAGCTTGCCTCATGACAACGCTTCCTCCCGTGCACTCATTTTGTAGCATAGTACTTTCTTTCTGACTCACTGGGGATTACAAGAGTCCCCTGGGTGATTTAATATAAGGGTGTCATCATTCTATTATCCTCTTTTCTTTTAATCTCCACCCTTCATGATCGAAATAAAATCTCTTGGTTGAATGAGAACCCTTTGGGACAAAGACAATTATATTTGAAGTTCTCCTGGCTATGACTCAATATTATTCAGCTCACTGAATCATTTCAGAATAACCTAGATGACCCTTTCCCACACTTGAACAGCTTCTCCTTTTAGAGAGAACTCAAAGACTCATTTTATTGAGAATATCAAAAAACTGTTTAAGACTGTGCTCCTTTGTCAAGGTAGGGATCAGCCACAGAAGGGAAAATGGAGTTTCATTGTTCTAACAGATCTCTTTCATTTTGTCACTGGTTGGTATTACCATTGTCGGACAGATTTTTTTCAATGTAAAAAAGGGCACTATGGATAGAACCTACCAAATAATTAAAATGTGTAACTGGGATTACACTTTTGCTGGTTCCATTACTGTGTCGAAGGCAGCCCATTTAAATGCATTACTGTATCTTCTTTCTATGTTTCAGGGGAAGATGGCTTTTACAGAATCATATGAAAGTCTTGAACTGAACAGAGTAGAATTACATTCAGTAACATACGCTTATAAATAGAAATGATCTAAACTGGGACTGTATGTTTTTGTTTGCTGGTGTGACTGTAAAAGTATTTGTGATCTGTTTTGTTTGCTGTCATAGTAACAGGCTTTATGATCGTATTTGAGATGGCTGAACAACTTTAGCGCAAGGTCCAAGGTGTTAGATGTACCGAGATGAGACAATACGGTCACTAGTGAAGAAAGTGTTCACCAGTTTGAAAAGAGAATCTTGTTTTTACAAATGGCATATTGTTTCATATTGGCATATTGGAAGTGAAGCCTGGAATACTTTGGCTACAATGCAGGCCTTTATGCTGATTTAATTTGTGTATTTGATTTCCTTTTTTTTATAATGAATTTGTTCAAATGCAACCATCACCATTACACTTGCCATAGCCAGGTTGCCAGGATGTTGTATGCGGTAACAAAATTCTCTAACGTTCAATAATCACGATTTTGAAAAGGAGACATATTAAAAGGGTATATTTTCCTTTCCCACAGATATGTATATGTAGATGGCCCCTGAAATGATGTTATCCTTCCTGCCGCACTGGTCATGGAGGCTGAGATCTTTTATGATACAATTAATTATTTAATTAATATATATACATTTACATACCTTTTTTTATTATTGTAGAACTAGCATTCCAATGAGTCATTAAAGTGATCAATACATAAAGAATAACAAAGTAAGTAATACACAAATATACACAATTAACGACAATAAGATATACATAAAGTGAATTTAAAAAATAAATAGATAGAATAACAATACAATAAATCGAATACATCAGAAAACATAATATAAATAAATAAAATGGAATAAAACAAATAAATGAAGAGGAAAAAAAATAATATAAAAATAAATAAAATAATAAAAAAAAAAATAACAAAATAGATAAATAAGAGAGGGTGCTCTACAAGATCTTCGTTGCTCTAAAATATTCCAGGAAGGGGCGCCAAATTTTTGAAAAAGAATTTTGTTTGTGTCCCATCGCAAATCTTATCTTTTCAATTTAAAGAGCATGATGGAGGTCAAAAACCCATTTCATTTACATACATTTAAGACTAACACCCACATGTTGCAATTCATAAATGTGATGAATAATATAAAATTTATTTATTTATTTATACGCGATTAAGATTAATATGGCCTACATAGCAAAGATACATACAATTGTAAATTAATCATCATCTTACAAACAAAAACATGCTTGTTTTCCTGTCCTAACATCACATACAAAAACAAATGATGGATCTGTCCAACCCTGCCCTAAAATGGCGGCCATGTTGTACGCGCCAGACCCTTAAGGCCTTTACACACTTATCCGAATTGAGATCTTTGGATGGCTTGTCAGCACGGCGCTCGTTGAGGTAATTTTCCTGCAATGATCCTCCCTTCCTGAAGATGGCACTCCGGGCCAAACAGAAACAGTAAAGAAGAAAATATCGACAGAAAGGAAATCAAAGAGCACGTAGAAAAAAATCCTGGATGTCAAGCGGTTTATGCAGTTGGTGGTTGATTACAGGGAGCTGTTTGACAAAAATGTGGAGAATTTCTTTCCTGTTTCCTATACAAAGTCATTATGAAAATTAGGGATTAGCACTTCTAAGTGCCTCCTTTCACATCCTACTCACATCATCAAAAGAGCTGGTTGTACTGGATCCGATATGGCAGTGCAAACTCTTTTTCACTGGTCCGATGTGTGATGTCCCGTTGGCGACCATGGTTTTTGATTGAGGCGCAATGTTGCACAAAATGTAGAACAGAAAATTCTGATCAGAATGTTTTGGCCTGTAGGAGGCATCTACATATCTATGCACACTTCCCAAGTGACGTCATTGAACTTCGTGCTAAGTTTAAAGATGTTGAGAAATCCGATTTGCCTGTTTATATGACAGTCACTTTGGTGCAGATCTGATTTATTCCTACAACTGAATGATGCCTGATTCTTATTTGAAAATATTTATGCATACAAATTGGGTCATGTCTGACTGCCTGTGTAAATGAGGCCTTAAGCTTGTGCTATTGTTTCAGATCTGCGTAAGATCCCCGGCCAGCTCTGCAGGGTTCTGGTTTCCTAAACTTCTTCTTCTACTCGCTTTCACTTTCCATCTCACAAGGCTTCTTGCCCAAACCAAAATAAACACCCATATACTTTTAACCTCCACCATTAGCCAGACAGTAGGACATTACCTATATCAATTATTAAGTCCTTGAGAAAAGTCCTCTTTGGAAATGTGACCCTTGAGATCTCAGCTTGTCCTGTGTACCAAATATCAGTGTTCAGCAAGTCATCCACTACAATTCCTACGGGATTGAAGACAGCTAGCATTGGCAAGACTCTGCATTGTATTGAGGAAATCTGACATGCCTAGTTGCTACATGCATGTTTTCCATGGGTTCCTATCAATTTATTTTTAAGCCTAAACATGACACCACTTTTTTACAGTCTTCTCTGACTGGAGCTTTGATGGACTCACACAACATTGATCTTTGTTTTTTTACCTTCAAACACAGATTAGGGTACATCACTATAATTGATTTCAAAAGTTTTAGCTCAAAAATATAAGAAATCTTCACCAGTAGTGACTGATTCTTTAACCCGTTCCCAATTTACTTATTTCTGATTTTCCGTCACTTTTCTGTGGCTAAGTCAGTAGAGCATTGCGCTCACAATGCGAAAGTTGTGAGTTCAATCCCCAGGGAAAGCAACAGCCAGAAAGCGACAGCTAGAAACTTCAACGTACATTTTTCTTGTGTCTGACTTTCCTGTCTCTCTGTCTGTGTTGACACTTGAGAGGATTTTTTTTTGGAGCATCAGTCATCATCTCCTAACAAGCAGGATAACAAGGAAAGTTGAAGGTTGCCACTTGGTCTGGTCAGAAATAGACTGGATGGACTGCAAAAAAAACGAGATTTATATCTCTACCATGATTTTTTTCAAACAAGGTGTCATCAATAATTACTTTGAAAAGTATACACAGAACTGTCTCAAAGAAAATTCTTATTTTTTTAAGCCTGTATTGGTCACAAAATCCTGGATAGTCCCATTGAAAATGTTTGATAAAAGTTGCCGATTTTCTGGCCCTGAGTGATATTAGTGTCCTTGATGCTGCACCATTATGTTCTTTGATTATTATTCCTAGAATATCACTTTTATTTTCTTGTATAAATTCACCATTAGAAGTCCAGGGCCTATACTACTCCAATAAGTTACTAAAAAAATCTAAACCTTAAACACTGTTGCAATTGCTTTAGTGCCATATCTTTGAAAAAGAAAGAAAAATCATATCACAGGTGTTATACGTCCAAAGGTTATCCCGTTTTTTTTACTGCTAGATGGACCTGTTGGCAGTGATTTGGGGTCTTTAAATTGAAACAGAAAGACCATTCCATATTTTCTCACATTTTAATATGAATTATGCTGTCATAACTCTTGTAATGTTAAGTCAAGTTTTACATTTTCAAGTCAAAATGCTTCTTGTCTAACCAGATTTAATTATTTATGCAAAGCTTTGCTAAAAGCGCCATCTTTAACGTAATAAATTCTTGGGGAGGTATAAAATGAGTCTATTTTCAAATATGAATGTAACAAAATAATATAAACGTAAAATAATAATATAAACCTAACATCATAACAAATAAAATTCATTTTTGCAGCCTTGTATATGAAGCAGAATTATTACAATTTGGGACGGAGTGTTACATTTCAGATGATTTTCTCAACTCAGACAAGAATAAATATGATTAATAAGCATTAAAAAACATTGTAGAGGCGAGAATCTTTTACATCCAAAAGTTCCTTCTGTCCAGCCCAGCCATGCGGGCGTTGGTCAGCCCGGAGCCGTGGCTGAGAGTTCAACAGATCCGGTTTCATCCTCGGCTCGAGGGAGGTTATAAGAGCGGCTGGAAAAGACGCTCTCTCACAGAGACTCAAAGAAAGAGAGGCAAACGTGGAAAGAGACGCGCAGATAATTTATCTTTAGGATTTAAAAGTTTTGACGGAGTTCTTGGCTGGCTGTGATTTTCCCCAGAATCCTCTGGGCTCCACTCTGAGGTCAGGGCCCTGTCGGCCATGATAGCAGCGCGGAGTAGCTCAGTGGGTCGCGGGGGTCCCGATGAGGCCTCCAGGCATCGCAGACAGTCAGCAGCTTCTCTGGCAGGGTACCGTGGTCACCGCAGCACTCATGAAAACTCTCGGGATATTAATAACCAGCACCGACAGGGGGCGCTGTTACGGGCCAGGAAAGCATTCCTCATCCGGGAGATCGAGACCAACTGGTACCTGAAGCTCTGCGGCCGCTCCAGGGAGGACAGCGTCGCCCATGAGACTGGCATGCCTTACCGGTGAGTGCTTAAGCAGTGCACTGAGGGGATTGTTATACAGTACCGTGCAATCAGATTTAACTGTCTATCTGACTATCTGTCTGTCTGTAACGTTACCATTTACACGTTCTTCAGGCCTGGCACATTTGTAAAATAATTTTATTTGAATAATACATTTAAATAACCCGAATCATTTTGGTCAGACCTTTGTGTAATAATATTGCATATTTTCATATATTTTGTCCCTTAGACAAAATATTTGTTTTCTTTCTGAGTATTTTTTTTTACTAATTTACAATTTGCTCTAATAAATTACGTTTAAAGGTTTTTTTGTGGCAAAGCTTGATATATTTTTTTTTGTAAAACCACAGATTCTTTTTGTTTTACAACAATTTTTTTTCATTGCATTACACAATACATCCACAACAAACGTAAAATTGTACAAAAATACAATTTAGAGTATTAAATTGTTCAATATAAATGTATTTAATTTTAATGCTGTTAAAAGTTTTATTTTTTTACAGGTAAATATGTAAAATGGAGAACAAACAATTTGTATGTTTATGATTAAAACAAACTGAATCTCTCTGTAAACCTTATTTGCTGTTCCAAGCACTCTTTGTGCCATTCTGCTTTTTTGTGGCAGAACTTTGAAAACCACAAACCATATCTTTGGTAAACAGCAGCTAGTGTGGTTGGCACATGCACTGGTGCATTCAGAGACTTCTAATGGTTAACTATTCCAGACAAATTGGTCCAGTGTTGAAATGCATGTTTAACCTATTTAAATTCATTTCCATTCAAACTTGGTCATTTGTGTAATAGAAAATAGTTTGAAACCATAGGTTTTGAGATGTAATATTCATTTTTTTTAGAATCCACGTCTGTGTGTTTCAGCATTAGGTCACTGACCAGAAAGTAGTCCCAGACTTTCAGAAGTCATTCTCAGCTGTCCTTTGTTTGTGTGAATTAGCATTTGTTCATCTTTGGGAAAACAAATATAAACACTGAATCTATTTTTAGCTGTATAGACTCATTTTTTCAGTCTCACTTCCTGAGTGATAATGATTTAAGCTGAAACTCGAGCATCAACAAAGCAGCTTCAGACCTCGGACCCTTGAGCGCCATGAATAACAGACATTCCCACCTGTGCTCAATCTGACGTCACACATTTTCTGCAGAAGACAAGGGAGTCTCCCTTACACCCCAGCTGTTTCGTTCTCATTCGTACAGAGTTGGTTTGACTTCTATATTAAGGGTTATGATAGGGATTTAGAAAAATGGTAACAACTACCTTGAGGTCAACTTATAAGACTGCGATGTTTGGTTAATCTTGCAGGATATTTGAATATTTGAATATCCTTCTTTCTGTTGGGGTAAAATGTTTTGCAAGCACCACTGTAAAGCAGACAGTATGGTGAACCTGAGTTTGAATGTCAGTCAATGGTAATGCACCAGGTGACACTGACACTGACAAGTTTATCACAGTCCAACAATGAGGAAAATAAAGCCAGAAACGATCAGTTTAGCAGTGAGAAACAGATAGCAACTAAAAATGTTCAGAGAAACTATTTAAAAAGATAACTCATTTCAATCTATTCTCTAAACAAACAGATTAAAATCTGGGAAAGGGGGTGCTTTTAACACCTTTTATATTTTTTCTCTTTTGATTGCACTCAGTTATCAAAGACGTTGGGTTAAAGTGATGGAAATGTTAGCTAATTATGTTCATAATCAGCATAAGGTTAAACACCTTTTTCCATTACACTCTCAGAAAAAGGTACACAAGTGTACAATCAAGGAACAATTTTGCACCGTATCAATAACTCTACAGAACATGGGGAAGTAGCGGAAGGCTCCCTGATTTAATTTAAATTTACTGAATTAACCATTTGTTTCTATCTAAAATGAAAAAATAAATGAAAGATCATTTGAGTTGGGATGGCATTTTGGCATATTGGGTGGCACTGTGGCCTCTTGGTGAGAAGGGTACGATGGCCTTCAGGAGTTTGCCTGATCTGCAGTTTCTCCCACATGACCTAAAACATGCGTCAGGTTAATTAAATTCTCTGAATTCCCACTAGGAGGGAATGTGTGTTGCTCTGTGATGGACTGCTGACCTCTTCAGGGAGTTCCCTGACTTTCACCCAAAGTGCGTTGGAGAACCCTGCGACCCTGAAAAAGAACAAGGAAAAGTGTAATAGAACAAAAATATTGGTGGATTTCTGACATACAACAGGAATCCCAACACAAACAGGAAGCTACATCCCACCTAGGAATTTACAAGCTCTCTAAATGAAGTTGCTGAGAGACATTTGCTCTCTTTTTGACTTTGGACTCTTAACTTCCCACCTCCATTGCTTTCTCCCTTCCCCCCTCCTTTTCTTTCCTCTTAGGAAAGCATGCTTTTTATAGTTCTCATATATAACGTTAAACTAAACAAAGCTGTGTTTTCTGTTGAATATCTTTAAGCCTTGCCTTCAGAGTCTTCTTTCTTGGGTTATGAATTACTTTTCACTAACAAAAGAAAAGAATTTAATTCATTGAGTTGAGAGTGATTAGGACAGCAAATTTCGTCGTAGGAGTTGGTCGTCCTATAACCAGAAGGTTAGTGGTTCGATCCCTGCCAGGTCCATTCTGCCTATTGTGTCATCATTGGGCAAGCCACTTTACCCACATTGCCCTGTGTGTGTAACTGGTGGAATGTGTTTGGTGGTGGGCAGGAGGTCATAGGCGAAAAACGGAAACCACATTCTGTCAGACTGCCCCAGGGCACCTGAGGGCTACCAAGGTAGCTTATCACCACCAGCGTGTGAATGTGGAGTGAATGAATAATACTCTGAAAATTTTTTAAAAGGTACATTATTCTACCAGAATAAGTAAAAATTGGGTCCTACATTAAAAATGTACAAAAAAAACTAAATATGTACAAATGTGATACAAAATATAAAAGTACAAATACATACCTCGCATGAAAGTACGTCTTGGTGCCCTTAAAAGGGACTAACATAAGGTACAGGTGCATATAGTTTTCATGAGAGTGTAGATATTTAATAAACAAATATTAGTATTTTTTGTAAAGTATCACTAGCATTTGTAGCATTTAAAGTACCTCGATGTTTCCACATTATTACTGTTAAAAGATTTGATGCAAGTTTCTCATCTATGTACTCATCTCTTTCAATTTCTCCAGATCTTCACATATGGTTCCTTTCCATGAGAGTGGTTTATTGGGTTAAGAATGAAATCTTGGGTTTCTTGAGCATGAATGCAAAAATCTTTGGCTGTTTGATGGATTAGAGGAAATACTGTTATGCATTTCTAATTCCCTTTTAGGACGGTTGCCATTAGGAGTATTCAATCTTAAATGCTATTATCTGGT